GCATCAGATCCACGTGGAGTCAGCATCAGATCCACATGGAGTCAGCATCAGACCCACATGGAGTCAGCATCAGACCCACGTGGAGTCAGCATCAGGTTCGGGGTTCAGGCCCACAGACCACCTCACTGCAGATGCCAGTCACAAGTCCAGGGGTCCTCTGTGCTCTGACCAGCTGGCTACAGATCCAAGGTTCCCACGGCCCCCTCCTCGGGTTCCATTAACTTGCTGGAGCGGCTCACAGAGCTCAGAGAAACATTCTCCTTCCTACATTACCAGTTTATCATAAAAAGATATAACTCAGAAGTAGCCAGATGGAAGAGACACATGGGGCAAGGCACTGGGGGAGGGGCTTGGAGTTTCTCCCCACATGTCTATGTGGTCACCAGCCCAGAAGCTCTCCAAGCCTGACCTTGTGGGTTTTTATGCGGGCTTCAATACATGGGCATGATTGATGGAGTCATCAGCAATTGGTGATTGGTGATTGATTCCTTCTCCCTTCCCCGAGGTCAGGGGGTGGGACTGAAAGTTCCAACCCTCTGGTCCCAGGGTTGAGTCCCCTGGTCACCAGCCCCACCCTGAGGGGCTTTCCAGAGTCACCTCGTTACATAACAAAAGACACCGTCATTGCCGTGCTCACTGGGGAACTCCAAGGGCTTCCCCCATCAGGTGCCTTCCCCAATCTCTGCTCCCCTTTGAGGGAGATTCTGAGAGACTGTCCTGTGTCCTCATCCCACATGCGCTCCTTGGAGTCACAGCCAAGGTGGGAGATGGAGGCTGGCCGCAAGTACCCACAGGCCCTCCTGAGTCTGTAGGCAGTGTGTGCTTCCTGCCCCCCTGACTCTGCCCACTGCCTCTCCTGCCCTGGCCCACCTGTCCAAGCCCCAGGGACAACACTGCGTGCCAACGAGGCCAGAGGCCAGGCTGATTCGTCTGGCTGGCTCCCTGCTGCATCCCCAGGGCACAGACAACATGGGTGCCACACACAGGCCGACGTCCAGGCCATCTCCACGGGAAGGGCCCATCAGCGCATGGTCGCAGCGCCTCGGGGCAGCCTCACCCAGTGCCCTGGCCCGCCCATCCCTCTGCTTATCCAGCTCCCTCTGGCCCTTCCCAACCCGCCTTGAGGCCATGCTGCCCCTAACCTGAGAGGTGCCGCGTGCTTCCGGGCTGGCGGGCGTGGTGAGGGGCGCGGAGCGTCCCCCCGGGCCTCCCAGGCGCTCGGTCGCCCTCCTGGCCGTGACCTACGGGTCGTGGTATGCGGCTCCCCTGGCTGCTGGCCACTGGCGGCTTGCCCTTCGTGGAGAAGGTCTTCCTCTGCGCGACCTGGCATTCCACAGGTGACCCGGCACCTCCCTGCCAACCCAGGGAGGACGGGGGAGGAAGCAGCCAGGACGACACGGGCTGGGGGTCACGTTCCTCCAGCCTCACGTCAGCCCGTCCCTCAGCCCGCAGAAGAGTCGGCTTCCCACCAGCACTGCTGCAGGCCAAGCGGGCGCCACCCGGAACCTTCCCTGGGCTTCCCAGTGGGCAGCAAGCCCAGCCGCTCAGCACTGTCCAGCACAGCAACCACCTCCACCAGGGCTGCTTAAGTGCACATCGAGTCAGACCAAGTCAGGGGAAACTTGCGCCTTCTCCCCCAAGCCACCGAGGTGCCCAGAGTCACACGTGGCCCGTGGCCGCCTCCGCCTGCCAGCCACGCTGCTCCAGGCTCCCCACTCCAGGAAGCCGTCTCGGACCCCCAGCCCACCAGCCCGCCAGCAGGGATCCCTGCGCGTGGGCTGCCTCTTCTCAGGGGTGCCCCCGCCTCGCGCCTGCCACTCCGCACTGGGGGGGCGGGGGCAGGGGCTGGGGCCTGACTGGCCGCGGGGGCTCCCAGGGAACCCCACTCATCGCCCCGGGTCCAGCAGCTGGATCCGTGGGCCATCGCCCCCCTCTGAGGCCGCAAGCCCCGGAGGGGTGGAGGGCTGGGAAAGCGGCAGGCGTGGGGGTCCTGGACCCCACTTCCCAGCTGCTGCTGGGCCAGGGGTGGTTTCCTGTTATTCTCTCCTCATGGTCTCCTCCCTTCCCAAAGGCGGGGGAAGCAGCCCCCATTCTGGGAGCGTCCAAGCAGCCCCTCCCCACAGCCCTCTGCAGTCTCCCAAAGCAGCCGGCAAGTTGGCTCTGGCTGTGGAAACGGATGACAGCCAGACAAGAAGGCCATCCCGTCCGCTCCTGCCCTGCCCCCCCAGCCCAGCCCGCAGACCACCCCCCCCCCCGCAGTGAGGCAGGGTGGGAAGGCCTGGGCTCTGCCTCCAGCCTGCTGCAGGGCCCAGAAGATGGGGGGTCCGTAAGGGTCAGCTCTGCGCCCTGGGTTCAGGCCTCCGTCCTCAAGGCCATCCCAGGTGCATGGGGAAACCAAGCCACTCACGGGGAGGGGCTTGTTGGAGTAGCTGAGTGAGCATAAGGTGCCAGGCGGACTGCTGGGGTCGGTCTACACCTCTGGGAGTTCACAGCCTGGAGAGCCTCAGGGCCGCGTCCTGTAGGGCACTGGATCCTGTGTGGGATCAGGACTATGTCTGCAATGTCAAGGAACTGGTGTTAGAGGGAGGCTGCAGGCCTGGGGCAGCCCAGGACGTCCGTGGGGAGGATGTGACAACAGAACCTAAGTCATCACCGTGGAAAGTCACAAAACTGATGGGTCCCTGGGATGGGATGTCCTGCTAACAAGCTCTGGCTGATGGGATGTGTATTAGCTGGGGCTCTCCAGAGAAACAGAACCAATAGGATAGGTATATAGAGAGAGATTTATCTTAAGGAATTGGCTCATGTGATTACAGGGCTGGCAAGTCTGAAATATGCAGGGCAGGCTGGGGACCCAGGAGAGCCGGGACGTTTCCAGCCTGATTCTGAATCTGAAGATGGGAGACCCATGTCCCAGCTCAAACACTCCAGCAAAGTAAGTTCCCTTTGGCTCCCCTTTTTGGGTGTACTCGGGCCTTCACCTGAATGGGTCGGGCCCACCCATGCTGGGGAGGGCATCTACTCAGTCTGCAGATTTAGTGTGAATTTCATGCAGAATCACCTCAAAGACACCCCCAGAATGGTGCTTACTCTGGGCACCCAGCCAGTCAGGCTGACACAAATATTACCATCAGACTGATCAGGAACCTTGGGCTTTGCTCCTCGGATCATCACCTGATTGGATGAGGCCCACCCGCATTGGGGAGGGCAATCTGCTTTACCAAAGTGTGCTGTCAGTGTTAATCCCAGCTACAAACACACCTTCACCGTGACATCTAGGCCAGTGTTGGCACAAATCACGAGGCATGGACACTCAGCCTGACCCACAACTGACTTCTGTATTCAGGGACACACAGCCAACCTGTTTCCCCAGCGGCCCCCAGGCAGGTCCTCCTCCTGTTGGCCCAAACTGCCTCAAATTGCATCTAGACCAATTAAGAAGGGGGTGGGGGGAATGAGAGTCATTGGCCTTTGCCAGGTCCTCTTGAGCCACCGTGCTGTGAGGAGGCCCAGGCCGCACAGAGAGGCCGCTCCACAGAGACCCGGCCTCCCCCAGGACGACAGGGCTCGCAGCACACCTCCCAATCAGGGGCTGCCCGTCCCCGTGAGACTTCCTGTCTTGCAGAGGGGACACGTGTCTCTGCTCTGAATCTGAATTGGCTGGGCCCTCCAGGACTTCCTGGGGTGGGGCTCCCCTGGGGGACTCAGCGTGCCCTGGGCATCAGAGGCAGGCTGACATTGGGGTCCTGGCCTGCGTTTGGCCTGGGGCCACCAAAGCGGGTCTGCAGGCCAGGGGGGTTTGCCACAGCCTGCTCTGGACCTGAGGGGGGCTGGGCGACAGCTGGGGTCACCTAAGTCAGGTCGGAGGGGGCTCCTTGCTGGCAGCAGCTGACCCCCCCACCTGTGAGTCACCCTTGCCCCTCGCGCTGCAAGCTGTGGCGAGTGTCCCGATAATGCTGTCCGCTGTCCTCGGCCTCTCTGTCTTCTGACTGCAGGGCTGTGAGCGTGCGGGCCTGGCCGCGTTCTTTGTTCTCACGTCTGTGTGTTCGCCTGGGCCCCCCCGCCTTGCCCGCTGCCTGGCACAGAAAGGCACCCAAGTGGCCTCAGCCTTGCTTCTCTCAGCCAGTGCGGAGCTGGGCCACGTGTCCCTGGAGGGTAGTGGTAGACACACACACACACACACGTGTGTGTGCATACGCATGCATAATCACGTGTGAGCGCGCACATCACATGTACATATACACACGCATGCACACTCACACACCCGTGCACACTCTACACACGTGTGCATGCCCCACGTGCACCCGCACACGCAGTTGTAAACAAAAGTTAGTTTTATTTTGCTTCCTTTGTTTTGGAGCCTGTGTTTGAATTAGGGAGGGGGCCGGAGGGCAGAGAAGGGGTAGGTAGGAGCCCCAGAACCCCTTCCCCCAGAATGGCCAACACCCAAGCCCTGAGCAGGACCCGGCAAAAGGTGGGCCAACACCGTTGCGGGACTTCCAGTATGTCCCAGGGGAGGGGGCCCCACCACACCAGTGCAGAAGCTCCAGAGGGTGTGGTCTGTCCGCCCCAGGGCCTCTGTCCAGCTGTCTAGGTGGGGAACTGAGAGCGCGGTCCAGGGCTGCCCCACACGCCCCAGAAGAGGATGAGGCAGCTCCCCCTCTGGGGCCCAGCAGGGGCCAGGCCCATCCAACCTCGGTTTCCCCTTGTGTACAAGAAAGACCTCGGATTGCTTCCAGCTCTGCAGGAAACAGGAAGTGGGGGTGGGGAGGGGGTGTGGGGAAGGAGCCCCATTTGCTGCTGCAGGGAATAGGGAGCCAGCACCGTGCCCCCAATACCCCAGGCCAGGCACCTCTGGGTGACGTACATGAGCTGCTGCAGGGCAGCAGGGGAGGAGAGCCCCCGCCCTGAGGCAGCGCCGCGAGCCAGAGAGCCAAGAGAGGCTCAGAGGAAAGGGCCAAGCACCCCCACAGGTGAGGCTCGCGGTGGCCCTGGGGGTGGGAGGAACACGGCCCCAGCCACAGTCCCAACCGCATCTTTTGGGTTTAGGGATCGAGCTGGGGACCCTTGCAGGTCCTACCCTGGACAGAGCGGGGCTCACGCAGGGAGGGCCAGGTGCTGAGCAGGCGATGCAGGCCGTGCCTCCCCGCCTCCCGCCCCTCCCGAGTGCGCGCGTAGCCGACGAAGAGGCGGAGGAAGAAGAGGGCAGGCTGTGCTCTGGGTCCTGCGCGTCCAGCCCCTGGCCTTCCCCGAGCCCCCCACCCCAGCCCTGGCCTGGAGGGAGGACAGACAACATCAGGGGCAGGCCATCAGATCCACACGGTGGTCTTCCCCTCCCTGCTGCTCGCGCTGCCCTTCTCCGAGCCCGCCCTGGGCTTGGCGCCCGGCCTGGCCTGGCCCCCGCCCGTGCCCGTGCCCCCCGACGTGGCGCTGCCCGAGCC